AAAAAATAAAAAAAAAATAAGAACCTCCATGCTTTAATGGAGCTCGTATTAATATACTAATATTATGTAATGCAGTGGCGGCGGCACGGGGGGGCAAAAAAGATTGGGGGGCGTCGCCCCTCCAAAATCAAGCTGAAACTCTTCGTGTCAGCCAAATTTGCCCCTCAAAATGCAGGAAATAGCGTTTCAGATGATTTCAAAATGTTTGAGGTGGAGCATGCCCCGGACCCCTAGTAAGGTCGCGACTTCGATGCAAGGTTGGCGAGCAGATCCCCCACCCCCACCCCCCGTGCAACATTTCGTGCCGCCGTCTCTGTAATGTTAATACAAAAAATGAATAAATAAATGAACACAAAAACAATCAAATTAATTAATTACTTTCTTTGGAATCCTTAATGACAATTTCCATTATATTCCAACATTTCACATCCATATGAACAAGCTTGTTCTAATCTCGTACACTGACGGCACTCATCTTTGGCCTATAACTCCGTGTTTCAGTGATATATTTACGAAGCTGAGTTACTCTTTATACTAGTAGATATTACACAGAAGAAAACAGACATATTGGTGATGCAAACAAGGCGTTATTCATGGCATGTTGGCAAAAAATGACAGACTTCACATTCTTCCGTTTAGTCTGTGTGTAATCACAGAATTGTTGAGTGGAAACAATATTCTATTACAAATATAGGGGTATTTTTTTAACTTATCCACCTTAAATTTTTATAAAAATAAATATAACTGGGTAAATTTAATTCTGGCATTTAATAATGACTGCGAAGATTGGCTAGCTTAAACTGTAGAAAGGATCGAGTGAGTTACTGTGTGTTTCATGTGTTTTCTCGTTCCCTAGATCGTACCGTGGAGGAAACAAATTACAAACGGTGAAGTATACATTCTTTGCACATGGCGGCCTCCATTGTGGCTTCTCGTCTGCAAGCAACATAATCTAAAATGCAGATTTTGATACAAAATTAGACTGAACCAGGAAGAATTTGTAAAATTCGAAATCCTTATCTACCACGAGATTACGAGGTGAGTCTGTAGCTTGGTAAGCATTTTGTAATGGTGGTTTCGAAGCCAACAAAGTGGTTGGTTGATTCTGACCTTTCCGCCATGTTTGAGGTCCGAGTTACTTCCTGGGGTTTTGACGAGTGACACACACTGACCAGACGCTTGACAGCGATTTCGCCACGCTCGAGTTAATTCTAAGCATCGTAACATTGCACAGTAGCGATGTTTTTATCAGAATTAATTCTGTTGGAACAACATAATGTGAAAATCGTCGATTGATCGTAAATACGATCGTAGCTCATATCATTGGCGTCACTTTGCATTAGAGGGAAACGCGCGCACACACCCCAATACACATACTAGTATCGAAAATAAACATACTCATGTCATGTTGAAGGTCGTTATATACCAAAATTGTATTATCTAAATCGATGCGATATTTGTATAAACGCAAATAATTGTCTCGTATGCGGCAACTGTAAATCTGGCACGACGTTTCACATTGTTTTGGTTAAAACCGAAGTGCAAAACTGGATAGTGATCTTTTCGTGATATTTAACTTGATCAACGAGGTTAGCTATTTTTGATTTCCATCA